AAAAAAAAAAAAAAAAAAAAAAAAAAGTTGTATATGACAAGTTATATAAATGTTACATAAATGTTAAAATAATTATAAAAATATATTTTCCATGATGTGTATAAATAAAAGACTATATTAAAAATAAGAGCATGAGAAGAATGGACATAAGATTTAGAATGACTGAAACTGAAGTAAGAATTTTGGGAAAAAATAAATTAAAAAAAGATGTAGAAGTGTGTTTTTATTGGATGAAGATAGACAAGAGAATTGGATCACTGAATACTACATTATTGGATTTGAGCTTTTGTTGGTAGTCTAGAGTTTTGCAGGAATTATATATTCATGGTGCTTTTTGATTGAACCCAATGGAATTTATTGAACCAAGTATTGTAATTAATCCAATTCTATCCAACTGAGGCATATTTAAAATAATAAAGTATATTACAGAGAACCTACACACAGCAGGCAATCAATTGATAATAGCTACATTTTTAAACATTCATTTATTGAGCATTTACTTTGTATCATGTATTTAAGGATGATTTGGAAATGCAAATATGAGGTTGTACTGTCTGCTTTACTAATTTGTAACTGATTTGCAGGTGTACTATTTTCTTATTGCTGTTGTAATGAATTGTCACAAATGTAGTGACTTAAAACAACACAAATTTATTCTCTTACAATTCTGGAGGTTAGAAGTCCTAAAGTCAAGATGTCAGCAGTGATGCATTCCTCCTGGAGTTTCTAGGGAAGAATTAATTTCCTTACCTTTTCTAGCTTCTACAGGCTGTCTGAGTTCCTTGGCCCATGGCCCTTTACTGCACCATTCTAACTTCTGCTTCCATTGTCACATCTTCTCTGACTTGGGCCCTCCTGCCTCCCTCTGATAAGAATCCTTGTGATTATATTGTTCCACCTGAACAATCCAGTATTAGTTTTCAATCTTAGGATCCTTAACTAAATTACATCTGCAAAGCCCCCTGTGCCATGCAAGGCAACATATTCACAGGTTCAAGTGAATAGGACTTGGACATTTTGGGGAGGCATTATTCCCTCTATAATCAGCAGGTAACATAGGTTTTGTTTTTATACATTCATGATTTTTACTATTGAACTCTAAAGACACATGTCAACCCAACATCAATCACAGAAATAGCTTTTATTTTTCATTGGCTTATTTTTCATTTTCATATTTATCATATCACTTATCATATTTGAAAGCCATAAGAAAATGCATCATTTTTTCTAGGAAAAAATAACAATTGTAGTGTATATTGCTTACAATAAAAAATACCACAATTTTCTCTGCTCTAGAGGATTTCTTTTGGATCGACAGAATAGACACGAAGTTGTGACTCCACCACGTACAAAACAAGTTTGATTTTTCTATTTAAGAATATATATTTTAATTATACCCAATTTGGACTACACTGGCTTACATTTCAGCAAAATATTTCCCATAAAAGTCAAAAATTACTCGTTTTCTTTTCTATAACTTTAAGGAAATCAGAGTTTATCTCCCAAAACCTCTTAGGTTACTCACCTGAGGAAACCATATGTGTCAAAGTAGAGGATATCAGGAAAAATATAATCTTGTGGGGAAAGGCAGCCATTTGATCTCATATAGCACTCTTCTTTGATAAGGCCTGTGAACATGCCCAAGATTCTTTGTTTTTAGTTTCCTGCACAGCTAGCTTTTCCAATGTGAGAGAACACAATACCCTGTGGTGATACCATTCCCGTACACTTGCCCTGGTGGTTCTTATACTGACATGGTCTCCAGGAACTCAGGCCTGAGACCCCTTTTTCTTTCCAGAGGAAAATGAAAAACATAAAAACATGACTTTTTTTTTTCTGCCAAAACCTAGCTGACAATCACAGTTCTGGCCTGGGAGAAAAATTAAGCTCAAGATTCATCAGGGTTGACTCAAATTCTATCACCTATACATAGGTTCACCCTCCAATTATTTAATTATCTCACAGTTAATTACCTAAGCTACTGCCTTCTTATTAGTGAACACAAACATGTAAAGAATTCATAAGAATTCTGAGGTAACCGGTGTAAACTGAGGGCTGTCCTGTACAGTCTTGGACCTATCACCCTATAACATGTGATTCCCTGGGATGGACCACTTTCTCCCACATTTAAGCCCTTTATTTCCCAGCTAAATTTCTCTTTGCCAGGTCAGTCACATGGGCTCAAATATAAAGAATGGGTTAAAAATGGGATCTTTGGTTATGCTTAATACAAATTGTGTATACCTTCCCTGATGCAAGAAGCAGGAAAAAAAAAATGTGACATATGACCTTGAATTGAGTGAGATGCTAGAAATCACAGAGTTTGGAGTTAGATGGGAGTTCAGATTCTTGGTTTAATGTCTCTGAGAAGTGTAGGCCTCAGAAAGTATGAACTTCATAGGATATTGAAAGAATCAACTGGTATTAATATAAGCAGAGTTTAAACATATTAAATTGATAATTTGTTTAGCCCAACTTTTCTTTGCTGTGAGTGAAATATTTAGGCCCAGGGAGAAGATACCTTCCCAGTCCATTTCCTTAACTTGCTCACACCCTATTCTATTCATTCTGTCTGCTTTCAAAATTGTAGCAAGGCATATAGAGAAATGAAGGAGAATCATAAATAAGCATGACATTTTCCCCACTTTAATATGCAGAGGAAACAAAAGGAGGGTATTAGAGGGAAAAGAGGGAAATGCACTGACAGAGAGGAAAGCTGAAGAGACCCCACCACTGACTTAGACTAAGGAGAGAGAAATCAAAGAGTAGTTACCTGGATGAGGTGGCTGAAGATGGGCCTGCTCTTGTCACTTTGGGTGTCACAACTAGCCTTCAGAAGAGCTGCTGTTCCAGAAGTCTGTAGCCAAGGACATGCAGCAGTGGGGGCTGACTCATTGCATAGCTGAGTGACCAATTGCTTGGCATGAGTTTACTCTAATGGTTGTTTCTGAGTTTGATCCCTCTCCTGAACCACCCCCTCTGATGTGTCTTGTTCCGGCAGGAAGAGACAGACCTGGAGGTTCTGTACTTGTGATTTCTGGTTGTGGATCTTGAGAACAAGAAGTACTGGGATCCTAAAGTTCTGACATTTGCAAAGCAGATTAATGACCTACCACATTCCAGATCATTTGGTGATTGTGTGTGTGTGTGTGTGTGTGTGCGCGCGCACACACCAATTTCAAGGTGGTTCCAGCCTTTCTAGTCTTCTCTGACCCTTATTCTCAGAAGTCAGACCTGTTCTGTCTTTCTAGGATATAATTTTTGTTTTTCTATTAGCCTGGGTAACTCCCCAACCAATAAGGTTTGCAATATCCAAGCCTCCTAATTTATCTACTTATTAGCTTATATGACGCTTCAGCATAAGCAAGCCTAAAAACTTGCCATTATCTGGAAAAGTTCTATTTCACAGACTTTAATCTCTCCTAGAGTAGTTAGTACTCTTTTATGGCTTTGTGTTCCCGTACTAGCTTGAATTCCATAGTCTGACATTAATATTTAGCTCCTTGACATGTCCATCCTCTCTTGATGTCCTGTTCTCTATTTTTCCTTCTTTCTTCCAAGTTGGGATAAATTTCAGCTTCTTATTTTCCTGCTCCAGACCTTGGTTGTGGAGAAAGATAGAAAAAGTTCCATACAGGGGACTCTGTGATCCTGATAACATCATTATTTACCTAAACTCTTTAGACTCCAGTGAAAGCTTCTTATTTAATGTCATTTTCCTACCTTATGCCACCTGTCCCATACCATTTTCTTTGTTTTATGCAATTTGTTTCCACTATCTGATCCCATTCCACCCATATGACTTTGAGTGGAAAACTTCATCTCTTAGTTACTGAGTAAACAAGCTTCAGGATGAACAAGCCCTGTCCACTATTTTCCTTTTACTTTAAAATTCTGGAATTTTTGTGATCTACCTTTTTTCCCTCTGTTTTTATTCTTCACTCCATATCAACTTACCAAGGGATCTACACCTTCATTCATTCTTTTCATTCTGTCGGCACCTGGCTATAGAGTTTACATTTCTCATCATATTTATTCCTCATAACAATCCTATGAGGTATATACCACTGAGTCTTGTATAAGAGAAAAAGAAACTGAGATAGGGTAACTCAAAGGGATAATTCATTTGCTGAAGCTACCAACTAGCTGCTAACCGTGCTACAATGGACAGAGATGACTTTCATGCCAAAGGCCATGTTCACTTGCTCTCTCTACATTTGCTCTAAATTTAGAAAAAATAATCTCTTCAATTTATCCTCCAACAGTCTTCTTAGAACCCTACCAGGGATGTCTTGTATAACACGTTTCACCTTTCTGGTAAAAAAAGATAAAAATAAAAATAAAAATAAAAGTACCCCTCTTCCTTTCATTAAATCTTGCTTTTCCCAAAGCCAGTGCTTTTAATCTCTTCAAAATACTGCCTTTTAATTAATTAGAATATAGGCTCTATGAAGGAAAAGGCCTTGCCTATATCTGTTAATAATTTTTACCTTGTAATCACAGTGAAGAGCATTGAATTTGCCACAAGGTAAGTATTCAGTAAACAGATATAAGAAGAAATAGAGTAGTTCACCCATCCTTTTTTTATTCGGTTGTTTACTGTGTTCTTGGATATTTTTAAAAATGTGTTTTCACAGATGACATTGTATCTAGTCCACCAAAAATAAAAATAAAAAAACAAAAAACACCTAATTTTGATTAAGGAGTCACATACATTTTGGAAAAGTAACATTTTTATAATGCAGTTCCTTTATACGTGAATATGATGGGCCTTCTTTTTGACTTGCAGGGTAGTTTATCCGTTTTATTTATATACAGATATTACCTCAATGGTGGACACAAAACTAAATACAAATCTGATCTTGTTGCCCTACTCAAGTCCTCCATTGCTTATATTATGGTACTATTATTTATGGTACATAATATTTATGGTAAATACTATTATGGCTCTTCATTGCTTATATTATGATACTATTATTTATGCTAATAATACTTGGGTATGAAGAAAGTAACATTTTACTTTGCGTAACTGAAATCAACTTGTTCATTTTACTTAAGGATAAAGTTACCCTCTTTTTTCCCCCGAATAGAAACACACACAATATTCCTTGCATACTTTTCATGTATGTAATGTTGCTTCCCTTCACCCTCATTATTTCTAGTGTTTTTATGCACATATATTGATTATAATGTTTAACCAGTAGTAACTGTTCTTTTACAGAGAAAATGAGAAAGTAGATTGTTGTGATTTATCTGTCATATATAATGATTTTATAGCAGATTAGCAAATTTTATAAATATGCTGTAATAGTGAAATTTTTCAATGTAGAAAAAGATCATGTTTAGTAATTAATAATATTGATATTTCTATAAAAATTATAAGCCAAAATTATGTAAGCTCAAATTTAGGTTTAGCAATGAATGTTTTAGTAGTTTCTTAGCTAGAAATGATCTACGTATTTAATAAATATCCATTATGTAACATAACTTTCAACATTTATTCATGTATCTATTGGCCATTTATGTGTCTTCTTTTAAGAAATCTCTATTCAAGTCCTTTGCCCACTGTTCGGTTGGTTTATTGTTTTCTTGCTATTGATGTGTTTGAGTTCCTAGTATATTTCAAGTTTTAGTCCCTTATCAGATATATGATTTGCAAATATTTTCTCTCATTCCATGTCACTTCACTCTGTTTTTTTTTTTTTTTTTTTTTTTTTTTTTTTTTTTTTTCTGTGCAAAGCTTTTTAGTTTGGTATTATCCCATTTGTCTATTTTTGCTTTGGCTGCTTGTGATTTGGGGGTCATATCTAAGAAATTATTATTGTCCAGATCAATGTTACTGAGCTCTTTCTTCCCTCTCTGTTTTCTTCTAGTAGTTTTAGTTTTTGGTATTACATTTAAGTATTTAAAGAATTTTGAGTTGGCTCTTGTATAGGGGATGAGCTAAGGATCCACTTTCATTTCTGTGCATGTGAATGTCTAGTTTTCCCAGCACCATTTATTGAAGAGACTGTTCTTTCCCCATTGTAGATTATTGGCACCTTTGTTGAAAATCACATATGTGTGGGTTTATTTCTGGGCTGTCTATCCTATCTGTTGTTTAGTGTGTCTACTTTTATAGTAGTTCCATGCTGTTTTGATTACTAAGCTTTGTAATATATTTTAAAATTTAATACCATGGCTCCTCTAGCTTTGCTCTCTTTGATCAAGATTGCTTTGTCTCTTTGAGATTTCTGTTACTCTATATGAATTTTAGAATTTTTTTCTACTTCTGTGAAGAATGACATTGGAAGGTTGATAGAGATTGTTTTGCATCTGTAGATTGATTTGGGTACTAAGGATATTGCAACAATATTAATTCTTCGAATCTATGAACATGGGACATTTTTTCATTTACTTGTGTTTAATTTTGTTCATCAATGCTTTATAGTTTTCAGTATACTTATCTTACACTTCTTTGGTTAAACTTACTCCTTAGTATTTTATTATTTGTTTTATGCTATTGTTAGTGAGATTATCTTAGTTTATTTTGTGCTACTATAACAAAGTACCTGAAATAAATTATAAAAAAAATAATTTATTCTCTAATGGTACTAGAGGCTGGGGAGTCTAAGGTCAAGGTACTAGCATCTAATGTGGGCTTTCTTACTCCTTCTACATCCTCACATGGCAGAAGGTGTATGTGTAAAAGTAAATGAACCCATTCCCTGAAGCCCATTTTATCATGGCAATAATCCATTCATGAGGACAAAACCCTCATAACCTAAATGCCTCCCAAAAGGCCACACTTCTCAGCATGGTTACATTGGGAATTAAGTTTTCTACACAGAGTTTGGAGGACACATTCAGACCATGACAAGGATTATTTTCTTGATTTACTTTTTAAACAGTTTGTTGTTAGTATACAGAAACACTACTGATTTTATATGTTGACTTTGTATCCTGCACCCAACTTTACTGAATTTGTTTATCAGTTTTAATATTTTTTTTTATGAAGTCTTCAGGGATTCTATATATATGATATAGACAATTTTACTTTTTCCTCTCCTATTTGGGTGACTTTTATTTCTTTTCCTTGCTTAATTTTCCAGCTAGGGCTTCCAGTACTACACTGAAAATAAATGGTTAAAGTGAGTATCGTATCTTGTTCCTGATCTCAGAAGAAAAGCTTTCAGTTTTCACCATTGAGTACAATGTTAGCTGAAAACACAATCATCACTAAAAAATGTTGTTAGCATAATTACTCACTTTGATTAAAATCAGATTTATAAGTTTTATAACATTAAACATCTAGAAAATATAATATTCACTTATTTGGCTAGAAAACCCAAGTAGAATAAAATGTATGTCTCCATTATACTTCATGCTGGCAACTCAGTCACATATCTGCTTTTATTTAGCCAATGCTATCAAATCTGTCTTATTTATCAAAGATTTACACAAATTATATACCCTTGATAAACATTTGGATTAGTTAGTAAATTTCTGGGAGTTTTAAGGAAGTGCTTATTTTTTTGTAAGCCTATTAGCATAGAATTCTTTTTAAGAGATTGATATAGTTTGGCTGTGTTCCCACCCAAATCTCATCTCGAACTGTAACTCTCATAATTTCCTCATGTTGTGGGAGGGACCCAGTGGGAGATAATTGAATCATGGGGGTGGTTTCCCCCAGACTGTTAACGTGGTAGTGAATAAGTCTCATGAGAGCTGATGGTTTTATAAGGGGAAACCCCTTTCACTTGGCTCGCACTCTTTCTCTTTGCCTGCCGCCATCCATGTGAGACATGCCTTTCACCTTCGACCATGATTGTGAGGC